ATTAAAGTTTTCTAACTTCGATAAACTATTTTGTCTAATACTTTATGGAATAAAAAATTTATTCAACTATTGCCGTCTCACAGAAATCTTCTACCTCAAATATGGATCTTTCACACACTATCTCGCATAATTATGACTTATCCTTATTAGTTTGACAAAAAAAATGATTAATTAAATGCCTTCTTTTAATTGTTTAGTAAATATCTATCGGAAATGATTGATAAGAAAAGTTTGTCCTTAAGAAATGTTGACAAATGTTTATGTATAAATACCAGGAAGAAAAACAAACATGTCTAAGTTTAATAACGTCACGAGTTCACAGGCTCAAAGGTGATGGTGAAAGGAAGTAGTTCTTTTCTGTTTTTTTTCCGATTATTGCATCCGTTCTTTCAATAATTATCATGCATTCATCTGAAATTCAGTTTTTTTTTCGTCATTTTGTCTAAGAAAAAACAAAATCTACCTTCTAAATATAGATGACTGTTTGCCTGGATATTGTTTATCAAACTTTGATAATAAATGAAATTGTAATTGATTCTAATACTTAGTTTACTTTTTTTATTCTAAGAAGAAAAGTAGACTTTAAAAAAAAAAAAATCTTTATCTCTTGTCTAATATAGCATTACTTGGTGAAAATGTTATAATATGAATTGAAAACAAAATAGTCACGCGAAGTTGATACCTCGAAAAGATACTGAGAGAAAAAAGCCATATTGATAAGTTTTTAATGGATTATGTCCTTGAAATTATCTCACTAGATTCGAATCTAGATTCAAACAGACTATATTCATTGCAAGTTCTTAAAAAATCATATTGATGAACTGTTAGTGATCAAGGCTTGCACGCATTATTATATTTGAATATTGTAACAGCGGTGCAAGGAAATGATTTTTTTTTAATAGGATATTTCAGAATATTTAACCTATAGATATCTTTATTTAATATATATATATATATATATATATGTAATATGTTTTTTGAAAATTTGACCTTTTCTATTTTAGCATTACGTAGCTTGCAATTATGTAAAAGCTTCGAATTGGAAAAATACCTTTATTGTTAATCGTGTATAAAAATGATGGAAAAGAACATGTGCCAATTCATTTACTGGTTTTCTGATTTGAAATTACTATTTATATATATATATAAACATTATAGTTCGCATGAGTTATTTCTGTTTTTTATGTTTGACAGAAATAAGATATTTATGTAAACTAATAATCAATGAATAAACATAATCAATTTTAACTGATAAAATTAAACTTATCAAATTTGTTTTATCGAAATAAATATATTAGATTAGAAATTAAATATGTAAATTTATTGGTTATTTTTTTAAAAACTTTAGATATATTTTAATGCAAAGATATCGACGGGGCTAACATCTTTTTTTTTCTCTTCATCTCGAGGATGTAAGAAGACTTAACGAAAAAAAAAAAGACAATTATATGAGTTAAAGAAGTTTTCTTCTATTTCTCACATGAGTAATCAGATTTTTTTTCGATTATCTAATGCTATTAGGTCTATTCGTACTTGTTGAACCTAAAGCAAATATTTTTTTTTCTACATTTTAACAAAGTCAATTGTTTTTATTATTTACCATTCAATTGTCTTCACTTGTTGTAATCATCGCTCAATATGATTAAGTAGTCATTATAAAGATGAAAGTTTGTCTTCTTTTTAATCTCTTTAATAAAAAGAAAAGATTAAAAGTAAGAACAAAAGCGGATTGTTAAAAAAAATATTTAGTTGAAAAATGTACTCATTCATAACACTATTGATAAAACTTTCATTCAAATTACAAAGATGCTGACTAGAAAGTAGCTTGATTATGAAAATAGAGAATGTACATCTAATCATCGCGTGCTTATCAATGAATACATGGATAAATCTATGATCATATTGACTGTTATTATTAATTGTTCAAAAAGGAATATTAAAAAAAATAATCAAGTTTCTATTGTTTGAATTGTAAATATAGCGTATTCATTAAGGAAACATGGTAGATTAAAAATAAGTTGAATAATATTGATGAACATTAGTTCACTAGAATAGAAGACTGTGACGATATATAATAAAAAAAGTGCAAAGGGAAGGGAGGGCGTGACATATATTCAATGGTAAATATGATTTCAATTGAAAAGAAGTATATGGCATTGTATGAAAAATATTTCAAATAAAATCGTCATTTCTCCTGAATTAACACATTCATAACTTAAAAACAATACGATGCTGATGAATCAGATATAAACATGTCTTGATCTCTTGGTTTTTTTTTTAATAAAAGAATAAAGAAAAGTAATTTTAATTACATTTTTTTTGTAATGAATATAAGATGTAAACGATTCGAATAAATTTCATATTACAAAGATTAAAATAAATGAAATCTATTAGGTTATTTGTTATAATTTTAGTTTAAAAATCTAGTTTGATAAGGTTTTTTATTAGCAGAGTAAATGTTTTCTCATTAATTTATATACAAATTGTAATGATTTTTTTTTTGTTTTATAATTCCATACTAAAAGAAAATTAGATTTGTAAAATAAAGGAAATATATTTATATAGAATGCATGAAAGACTTAAAAACATTTTATTCATAAATTATCAAAGAATGATAATATAAATGGTTTTGTTGATGAAGCAAAAACAATGAGTGTGGAAATAGAGCCATAATCTATCAATATCAAGACTAACTTTCTCGCTCGTATTTATCATTGGAAAAATGACAATCAGGTGTCCTTAATAGAAATAATTTCTTATTTCCTTTCATGTTTACTCAATTATTATAGAGGGCATATTTTTTATTTGTTCTTTGATAGAGATAGGCTTAATATGTCCTATATTGTTTTTGTCAATATTATTGTTTTATGAAAAACAAAATATGCTTCAAAAGATTAGTTATGGTATTTCATGACAGGTGATAGATTCAATCCGTGTTAAATGATACAAATCGGTACATAGAATATTGTGAGGTTAGAAAAAAAAAGATGACAGCAAAGTGACTGCTGCAGATGTTGATCATGTGATATTGCTAAAGGTCAAATAAGTATAGAATGCAACTTCGTATATATGCATATATCCGGGGGAGTATAAGAACGATTGGTGTTTACTCCTCTTCTTCTCTTTCTCTTCTTTGCTATATTTTTGGTGTTATTCTTGTCCTTTCTATGATGATGTGCGTATATAAATCGATCTTTGCTATAACGAAGTATTTTCTTTTGCCAAGGGCAAATCAATGGTATTTTTTTTCTTCGTATACGAGTAAGAGTTACTTTAAAGTTATTGCTCAATCACATGAATAGAAATAGTTTATATAACGTTTTCTTTTCGTTTTATCGATAGTTGGCGCAGTTGCTCGGCTACTTCGTAGTCTTATGGTATGATACAAGTTTTGGGTACTTGCGGTGACGGTTCGATTCCGTCCGAAAAACCGCTGAGCAACGCTATCCAATTCTAAAAATTAGTTTTTTTTTTATTTTAATGACTCGAAATGAAATACTCCAAAATATCTTTGTCTAGGAAAATTCCAGAAATCAGTTATTCCTTAGTACTTATCCTTGACCCTTTGATTAGTTCATGTTTATACCGTACATATGGTAAAAGAGCATTATTACCAATTAGGAAAAAGAAAACTATTTTCATCTTCATAAAAGGTGTCATTTCTCTCTATCTATAATTAAAGAAAATATTGATCATCGTTCATCATCGAACTTCTAAACATTACAATATGTCTTAATATAGCGATAGAAATATGACAAGGAGAATATCAAAATGGAAAATATCCTCTTCTATTCTTGTTTTGTATTTCTCTTGTTCCTTCTTAATACCAATAGTAGGATTGTTTGCTAATGACATATCTCCTACGATTCAACCAAACCAATATGTTATCATAAAGATTATATTTGCATGAAGCTTAACTTGTTTTATTTTTATTCTATAAATTCAATGAATTGTTATTTTATTTATCTCGTTTTTAGATTTATTGAATATCTTATCTAATCTTGATTTATATCAATATGTCATTACGACGAAGTTATTCAAAAGAATCTCGTTCACGTTATGCTCGTTCATCATCATTTAGTAATGATCATTCAAGTTCTTCATATCATCATCGTCCATTAAGTTTTCGTTTAATTGAACGAGATCGTTCATTACCACCTCTTGGTTTTGATTGTAATGATGACCAATATTCTTTTGAACGTCGTTCAAAACAAGTTCGTGATGATTTTCAACGTCGTTCAAAAAAATTTCGTGATGATTTTGAACGTCGACTTCGCTGCCGTTTTGATGATGATGATTTTGGTCGTCGACTTCGTTGCCCTTTTAATGATGATGATTTTGATCGTCGATTTCGTTTGGGTTTTCATGATGATTTTGATCGTCGACTTCGTTGTGGTTTTCATGATAGTGTATTTGATGATCCATTTTTTAAATCTAACATTGGAAATAGCTCATTAGGTTTTGGACGTAATATTCCAATAAATTACCAAACAAATAATAATTCAATATCAACAGGAAGAAGAATACCAATTCAATATAGACCATCACCAATGACTAATCGTCATGAAAAAGTTTGTAAACAAATTAATGTTAATACTGATGGCACATCAAATTCATTTCAACGTAATAATGACTATTTTGATAGTATGTTTCATTTATTTAATCAATAAAATATTTAATATTTGGATTTTAGGACGAGAAAATCGATTTTCAACTAATGATTGGACACCAAGACAAGGTGAGTATTGAATAATACAACTAGAAAGAGTATTGAAATTGATCTTTTTTTTTCTCTGCTAAATCCATTATTATTTCTGAACAGAATCTCCAACACGTAAACGAGCAACTATGACATTAGTCGTTCGACCACCTCGTAGGTGTTTGTGTTAGCATGAGATTTAGTGTAAAAAAGAAAATTATGCATGACCTCTTCTTATTTTGACTCCGCATAATAATTTAATTATGTTATAGGCATTCAATATTCAGATGCATCTTATCAACAACGAACTATGTCAACACCAACCTACACATCATCAAATATAACAAATTATTATTGAAAATAACTCATATGTTTTGATGCTTTTTTTGGTTCTATACGCTTTCACATCTCTTTGAAATTTAATCATTGATTGATGCTTTTCTTTTAAACTAGATTTTTTTTTTTATTTTTACTCAAAGTATTTGTATGATTAACTATATTTATTCACATTTGATCAAGCAGTTTTTATATATTGGTTTTTTCATTAATATTAAATGACAACAATAAAATGGCTGCCTAATTTCTAAGCTACTCCTCCTATATTTAACATGTTCTATTTTATAAAACATTCTATATTCTGCTAATAGATAAATATGAATTAGATAATAAACATAACTAAGAATTCCAAGTCATTACGTTATCGGTCATGAGCACAGTTTTTTTTCTTCTATGGAGTTATTATCTTTATGTCGTTATTTTAAATATTTATATATTTAGATCACAATCTGTTCTTTTGTTTTCTCTTTCTAGAAACTTATCTAATCACATATGTTACGTTTTGAAAACAAAAAAAAAAGAACTCATTTGAATATTAAGAAAAGTATTGATGTATATTATGATTGATATTTGATTATCTTGTTTTCTTTTTTTACAAAGATAGTTATGAATTCGGAAATAGATTTGTTCAGTCAAATAAAAGTATTTTGAATGCTAATGACGAAAGAAAAACACATAGACTTAAGAAATATTATTTCCGAAATAGTTCTTTCATAAAGGAAATTAAGAGAATATTTATTCAATACTAAAAGGCAACATGAAAAAGTCATATGGTTATGAAAATTTATTCTTTTACTTTCATTGATAAAAGAAGAAAGGTGGCGTTAGTCGACAGATAAATAAGTATATTCATTAATTAATCATAGATAAGATAATGAAAAAATTTCTTTCTGTTATAAAATAAATTGAAAAGAATATTTATTTAAAAAATATTTATTGAAATTTTACTCGACTATATTTTAGTAAATATGAATCATGTATTACAAGACATGTGTTAGTATGAGTCATAATCGACAGCTTAACAAAATTCTTATTGCTCCTATATTTATTGTTATCTAAAATCGAAGGAAGAAAAAAGTGATGATTGAATTATCTTCAGCTTCATCATCATCATCATTTCCATCAATGGGATTAGTTTCATCGCCATCTCGTTCAGTTTGTTCAACTACAAATTCTTCAAATAGTCCAAATGTTGTTGTACAAACACGTTTACATAAATTTTCATGTCCAGAAATTGAAAAACTTAAACAAAAATATCGCATACAACATACAAGTTGTTTTACACATTTACAAACACTTCTTAATAAAAATCGAGTATAAAAAGAAAAATTCTTCTTTTTTCTTTTCTCCTAATGAAAAAACTTAAATTTAGGTATCCAAATGTCGTGAATGTGGTTTAGATGAACAATGTCGTATATGTTTAGAATGTTCATTATGTTTATGTCGTCATCATGCTCAACATCATGCACGATTATGTTCTCATCCACTTGCTATTGATATAAAACGTCTTTTTGTTCATTGTTATATATGTGGTGATGTTCAATATGATTCAGTTTTTGAACGTGCAAGACGAAAAATTATTTTACTTCAACAAAATCCATCAAATATTTCATCTTCATCATCAACGATTGGTGGTAAATTTATTTAAGAATAAAATTTTGTTTCTATTTTTTGTTTTGATTTTTAAAAGGTATTTGTGGACTTCTTAATCTCGGTAATACATGTTTTATGAATAGTGTTTTACAAGCTTTTGTTCATGCACCTGGTAAAGACAAAAATATGTTTATTTTTGTAAATTAATTTTAATTTTTAATATAGTTCTTCGTGATTGTTTTCTTTCGGAAAAACAACATCATTGTGAATCAAATGATACAAATCATATATTCAATAATTGTATTATGTGTCAATTACGTCGATTATATCATCATGTAAGTTTTAGAAAGAAAAAAAAGAGAAACAATTAAGTTTCCTTTTTCTTTTTTTAATATTTATATAAAATATATATTTGAAATTTAAAAAAAAAACAAAGGTTCATCAAGGCCAAACAACAAATGAACCATTTGTTCCATCACAATTATTATATTTAATATGGACACATGAAAATCATTTAGCCGGTTTTGAAGAACAAGATGCACAAGAATTACTTATGGCATTATTTAATATAATACATTCACAAAATTCAAATGATAATAGTTAGAATTACTTGAGTTCTTTTCTTGTTCTTTTTTATAAATTATATTTATGAATTAATTGATTTTTAGCGAATGATGAAAAGTCATGTTCATGTATTATTGATCGATTTTTTAAAGGTGCTCTTCAATCTGAAATAACATGTTCTCAATGTGGGTAAGTTTCTATTCTCCGATAAAATTCAATTTAAATATAATCTTTCATTTGGAATTAATTATTCGAAGAATTTTTATTATGTCATTAAACAGTTCTCCTCATTAGAGCTTTTGTTTAGAACTTATGAAGGAAACATTAATCTCATGAGAGAATATTTCGAGGTAATAAAAGCACTGTTGAAACGAGATTTTTTCCGTCAAGCTGAGTCTATTGAAGGTAGAAAACATCTAGAATAGTTCGTTCTCTTATTTCCTTCTTCTCAGTTTATGATAATTTTTACTAAGTTTCTGATCTAGTATAATGGATGTCATCAGAAAGGATACCATCGAATAAGACCGTAAATCTGCCGTCTTCTTCAGTCACAGTTTCAATCGGTTAGAAAGATAGACTATGGAATTCTGCACATTTTTGTGTATTTATTTAATTTTTTTTTACTAAATCTAAAAAAATTTTCGAGGACTAAATAGTCCTAGGGGTCTACCATTTTTGAGTGTTTTGTATAATCACTATGGAAATCATCATTTTCTTTTTGTAAACTTAAAATAAAAACTAATAATAATGAAGGTTGAAATGGTTTTCATGGTCTAGAAAAAAACATATTGGTTATGTTTATCGATTGATTTGTAGAAGGTTAGATAGGTGCAATATATTGCACCTATCTAACCTTCTACAAATCAATCGATAAACATAACCAATATGTTTTTTTCTAGACCATGAAAACCATTTCAACCTTCATTATTATTAGTTTTTATTTTAAGTTTACAAAAAGAAAAAAATGATGATTTCCATAGTGATTATCCAAAACACTCAATATTGGTAGATCCTCTCGAAAACAGTAAATAAATGTGCAGAATTCCATGCTCTCTCTTTCTAACCAATTGAAACTGTAACTCAGAGGTGTGACAGATTTACTATCTTATAAGGCGTCTTACACATCGAAAGTTTCATCTAGTACGAATGTTTTTTCTTTTTACGACAACAGATCGTCAATCAATGTGCATAATTTAAATAAGAATTATATATATTTTTTTTATCGAAACTTTCGCAAGATACTTCAAACTGTCGTGAACCTTTTGATTCTTTTACAAGATTGATAAGAATGAAAAAGTTAATTCATTTTCTCCATACGCTTGTGACATCCCTATGCGGCTAGAGAAATTCTCTTAACGAAATATTTTTCCACCAAAAGTATAAATACTTTAAATCTTTTATCAAAGAAAAAAAAATAAATTCGTTGTGGGTGAAACTATCGGTGTATGATCGAGATCATACGATCTATTTTTAACTATAATTTCAGATCGAACTGGAGATATTGAATTTTTGATATTATGTTTTATACTTGGTGGAAAACTCAATAAAATTATCATAAGTTGAGAAAAAAGAAATAGGAGAAGGTTTTATCAGTTAAAATGCAAAGATTGATTTATTTAAATAGAATTCGTTGAAGTTTATCTTCTTAGATAAAACAAAATCTTCAATATTTTTTTTGGAATAAATCAAAAATTAATATACTATGAATGAAATTTGTTTTTTTTTTTTCTAGATCTGTTTCGACAAAAAATGATCTTGTTCGAGATATATCTCTTCAACTACCATTTTCATCATCAAACGGTATGTATTATCATTTTAGAATAGAACTCTATTCGACTCTATAACCTTTTGATAGTCAATCAAATCAAATATTCTATTACATAATTTTCTCATTACACTTCTCAAAATTGACAACGAGTTTTGATTCTATTCTATAATATATCTCAAAACTATAAAAAAAATGAACAACATCATAAGAATCTATCGATAATCGTCGAATAGAGAAATCAATATTTTACTTTCTATTCAAAATTATTAAAGAAAATTTGAAGCTGATTCTTCTCTAAAGCATAGAAAATGTTAAGTTTCACGCTCATTAAAGTCAAGATCTTCTTGATCTTACAAATAATAACAAATTATTCTTTATCATAAATCTATTTAATAATATTCATAAAAAAAAATATGTCCTTAAAGTACATCTCTTGTGTCAATCAAGAGTAAATATGCTAATAGTGGATTATTTATAAATACAATAAATTTGTTCTTTTATACAATCTACAGTTGATTATAAAGTCGATTTAATTTTGGACAAAAGTTATATTTAAAGACTAATTATGAAATTTGTAAAAAGTGTTTAAGGGACCTCCTTCCTGTATCGAAAATGACTTGACAAAAAGTTATGAAACTTTCAAGACCGATGGGTTTCGATAAGTAGAGCAAAAGTTGTCATAGATTGAAAATTTTCTGATGCTTCCATCAGGAAGATATGGAAGCCGCAAAAGCTAAAAATAGCCAGAAGTTTTCCTGCCCACACAACTTTATACTTCACTTTTTCGAACTGCAATTTCTTTTTTAATGACAATTAGGATCAAATCAGCGTGCGTATTTTTTTTTTCCTTTCAAAAATATCATTCCTTGAATATAGGAGAAGCAATTCGAACCTGATCGGACGTATTGTATAGGAGAAAAGTTTCGCTTTTTTTTTATTTAAAAATTGATTTCGAGAAAAACAAATTTTTCTGTATTTATCAGGACTATTTTTCTGCAATCAAAGTGATCGAAAACTAACGGGTGTACGGCCTATGTTTTAAGTACCTTTGGAATGAGAAATAATAATTATTATTAGGGGAATTTTGTATAGAAAAGAATAATCGTAGCATGAACTTTTCTTCTAGAAGTTTCGAAAGTTGCATTTAATAAAATTACAAGAAAACAAAAATTCAATTTTCATGCTCAGAAGAGGCTCTCTTACACAAATTTCGTAATTATTTCATTGTTATTGTGTAATAATCTATTTGTAGATGAATCATTTCCATCATCATCGTTTTCTCTAGAAAATTGTTTATGGAGGTACGATGAAATTAAATATAAAATTAATTTATTATTGATATTATTATTTTCTAAAGATTTACACATTCCGAAACATTAAGTAATTTTTACTGTGATACATGTCAAATGTCAATGACAGCAAATATAAAACTAACGATATCTCAAGCACCGATTGTCGCTTGTTTTCATCTTAAGGTAAAATATAAAAGAATTTCGAAATATGTTATATTTTTTTTTGTGTTCTAAAATAAATATTTATTTAATTTTAGCGGTTTCAATATGTAAAAAAATCTCGATCAAAAATGCGTAAAAAAATATCTGCACATATATCATTTCCTGATGAACTTGATTTAACACCATATATGACAATAACAAATTTAACTAAAGAAAATAATAAATATTATTTATTTGCTGTTATTAGTCATTTTGGTTCATCGGTTGAAACAGGACATTATATGTGTTATGTTAAACTTCAATTACAAAATCGATGGTTAGAATTTAAAAAAAAGAAAAAAAGAAAATTTTATTATACAAAATAAATGAAAAATTTATATTTTAGGTTTCGATGTGATGATCATTTTGTATGTGAAGTATCTGCTGAAGAAGTATTTAAAAGTGAATGGTATGTGTTGAAAAGAATAAATTTGATTTGATTTGTTTTTTTTTTATTTTCGGAAAATTTTAAATTTGTTTTATTTTAGTTATCTTCTATTCTATCAACGTATCATAGTGAATTCAACAAGCTAATTTCACTTATCTTTTGTCTTATAATCTGGATTTCTTTCTTTGTTTCGTTTTTTTTTTCTCTGAATGTTGGTCATTTATTCTCTGTTCGGATTTGTTGTGTCTTCTATGTCCTTTTTTTTTGATAAGTCTTTCTCTTTTTTCTTTTTTTTTCTTGGACGATCAGATGAATTTTGCTCAGCAAAAATTGAGAAAAAAATAAACTTATATGAAATGTTTGTGTGTATGTGTGGATATATATATATATTTCTATTCAGATTAATGAAAAGTATAGTTCAATATCAAAAGATATGTCTATTATTACAAAGAAGAAATATGTTGTAAATGAAGCACTTCAACGTTATCAATTACCCGATGAAAAACATTATATTGTCAAGGTAAATCGTCTTTTGAAATCGAAAGTAGATATACAATAGAGATGTTCATAGATAGAGTCCATCAAGTTGATCGAAGTTCGAAATTTTTTGACTCGACGAGCACTAATCATAGGGGTAATATTTTCATACTCTGCCCTACTTCATTGAATTGGACAGGGTATCTTTTAAAACTGATATACTGTATTGATTGTATTTTCCAAGCGAGTTGAAAAGTACGCCTTTAAGACGCTGATGCATTGTTTAAATCACTATTTTCAAGATAAGATTCTTGGTCTTTTTCCAATAAGAATTTGAAGTCAAATCATCGAGAAGACAAGGTAGAGATAAATTTCATAAGTTAATCTTGTGCGGTAATGTGGTAAAAGAAATAAAAGTTGGATTTATTTTTCTTTTCTACCATTTTCATTTGAATTTACATCTATAGATGAAAACTCTGAATGCCAGTTGGTATGCTCAATTTTTAACATTAAAAAAAAACACTCTTTTTGAAGATAAAAGCTTGAAAATTTGCAGACTATAAAGACCTGACCATATCCTGTGAACACTTCTAATATACAATAAATCTTTTATCCTCTGTGATGAGTAAAAAGAAATTTAAATAAGGAGTCTTTTTTTTCTATTCTATAGTTTAGTAAATTATAATTTGTTGTTTCTTGATCAATTAATATAAACTTTGTTTAGATAGTTGCTCCACGTGGAAATAATTTACATGAAGTAATAACACCTAGTGGATCGACATTTCTTATCAGTATGCCAACGAAATTTCGTCAAACAATTTTTATTAAACGAGGTTAATTGTTTTGTTTTATTTTTCCTTTTTTTGAAAAATATTTTATTTTATTTTTTTAGGTGATTATGTACTCGTAGAAGATATTGAAGAAGGTGATAAAGTTAAAGCAGAAATTGTGCAAATTTTATTCAAAGATAATATTAAATATATTCGATCACAGAATTGTTGGTAAGTCATTAGAAACAAAAAAAACAAGCTATTGATATTTTATTAAAACTTTTATTTAGGCCTAAAGAATTTCAAGATGTTCAAGAATCAGAAAATAATGATGATAAATCAATGGATGATATGATGCCACCATCGGAAAGTTCAGAAGAAGAAGAAGAAGAAGAAGACGAAGTAGTGGGAGTAAACTCGTCAGAGAATAAACCCACTCAGTAGTTGTGATTGGCTTCTTTCTTTTTATCGTTGTTATCTGTTACATTTTTGCTAAATAAAGCTATTTTTCATTGTCATTTTTCTCCGTCTTTAATCAATGCGCTGACAAACGTCATCGAAGATAATGGCATTAATCGACCAAAGATCAATTAGATTTTAATAAAAAACCAACGCAAGACTAATGATAAAAAAAAGACAACGGTATAAAATAAGAAAAACGTAGAAATCGAACTACATTAGACGTTTAATTATTTATTCTACTATGTGTACATCAGTTTATATATGACTCAGCAAGGAACACAAACAATATACCGATTGTAATCAATTTTTTCATTCAGTCATTAAGTCCAGGAGAGTAGAAAAAAAAAGCAAAAAATGCCTTGTCGAAATCAATGGTACCAACAACAGGAGTTGAATACACAATTTAAATTCTACATTGAAGCTTTCCAATCATCAACCATTTTTTCAAATCACAAATTGTTTCTACATGATAAAAAGAAAAAGTTAGCCTGTAAAACTCAAAGATAGTAAAACAACAAGCCATGAAAAAATATTTACCAGTGTATCAGGTCACGGTAAACACCAAGAAAATATAAATCAAGTATCAACACCTTACACTGTCATCGTCATTTATCCAATATTGAATACAAAGGTTAATCAAATAGAAGTTTTTTACAATCAACTGCTCTCTTAGAGATTCATATGGATAATGATTTACTTTTTCCAATAGATGAAAAGTAGATCGTGATAGATATAGAATCCAAGGAAATCTATCGAAAAAAAAAGGGAAAATTAGTCGCAAAATTTTTGGCAAGGAAGAAAAAGCAAATACAAGATACTGAGATTTTGATGAGTCTCGATGGTCTTTGGTATTTAGTAGGATTCAAATTTTCTACATTGATTTCAGACTATTGTACAGCTCGACGATTTCGACTGGATTCTACTATGTTCTGATAAGTTTTAATAGTTGGCTGGAAGTTTTGACAGATTTCGATAAACTCCAATAAATATATTCTACGATCCATTAGAATTTAAAAGTCGAAGATCTGCTTTTTCACCCTTGATTTTCTCTATATCTTTTTCATGTATAAGCTGGTTCTTAGTGTAATTGTGTGATGAATTGAAGCTTTAGACGAGAAAAGTTTATTTAACAACGTCATACTTTATAAGCACAAACTTCGATAATAGCCAAACTAGATTAGATTGTTGGATAAGTATGTTCTTAAAATTGATGTTGCATTTGTTCGAAACTGTTTTGACAGCTTGACGTGTTTCTTGTGATTTCTATACTATTCATTTGTGAAAGCCTTTTCATAAAAAAAAGCAGTTGGTTGTCATCGATGCTATTAGTTGAAATCTGCTTGTTAATTGCAGAATAACTTTATCAGGCTTCTGCAAAAGATATCGATCAATACTGATTAGATACTTTACAAATTTTGTCTGTCATTCTTCATTTTAGCGAATTTTTTTTAAATGACATGTGGGTGAGGATCTTCTCGTCACGCACGCCCCAAGACATTAAATCCTACTATTCTCAGCCTATGAATCAGCTTTTTAAAATTTGTTTCGATAAAAAATGATCTTATACAATTTATTCCGCTTCAACTATCATCATCATAATAAAACAGTATGCAAAATCATCTTATGACAAATTTTCTTTCGATTCAATGACCTTTTGTCAATTGATAACGTCTAATGTTGTATTATATGTATTGTTGTTATTAAGTTTTACTGAAAGTTATACAGAACTTTGTTTAAAGAAGAGAAGGATAATACTTTGATCCTTTATGTAATTATAATCAACAATGAAGATTATGTTACAATGAAATAAAAATCCTCATTAACATGATAAAAAGATACAATCTTGATTCTCTATGAGCAACTAATCAACAAAAACCATCGAATGGCTTTCTAATTTTATTCATTACATATTGAAATTCTAATAGATTTTCCTACAAAACAGCTAGATTTATTCAACATTTATATTAAAAGGTTATTTTGGATTTTTTTTTATTGCAGATCTTTATACAGATGAAAATTTAATAAAACTAGATTATTCTGAGATTTCAGATTATGAAGTTTTTCTTTCTCAAAAACTTCCTGAGAAAAGAAAATTTTCATACGTACAGAAGTATTATGATATATTGACAAGAATACGTTCATTCAATCAATATGAAATTTTTAAGATGAAAGAATTTTATTGAAAGTCTTTCTATCAAAAAAATTATTCAATACAAAATTTCAAGATCGATTTGAGTAAAATTTAATGTAAAACGGATGATACGACTGAAAATACAGTACATTTTAATATTCTACCAATAAGAACTTGAACAAAAATGATTTTCAATAATTCGAAGTCTGACATGAGTTTCTGTGTTATTTCTCAGTGACGTTTTTATTTCAAATATGATAAATTGACCGGCAAAAAACATTTAATTACCGCTTAATTTAAGAACGAAAAATAATAATATGATTGCAACAAACTTAAATCTACTATTTTGTCCGTGAAACAGTGACACATTTAGAAGGGGAGGAGCGGAGTGGGACGTGATGCCCCCCCTCTTCCAAAAGATTTTTCCTAGCAGAAAATACTTACGAATTAACTTCAAAACATGTTTTACGATCATGATGGCCTCCTCTCATCATAAAAATCCTAGATTCGCCGCTGCAATGAGAAATACAAATGCAATCAAAACTTCAGCTCTTGTTCTCAAATATGGCATGATTATCAATGTGAAATAGTCATAATAATAACGAATCTTCTTAATGTTCATATATAAGCATACGTAATCGCTTAGTAGAATAATAGAAATTTATTCATATGTAATAGTTGTTTAGTTGACATCGAATATAGTTTAATAGAAAAAAAAAAGAAAAAGTTGAATGTTCATTTACAATATTGATTGAATTGTATGATGCATAGTAGACAATAGAAAAGTAGTACTTATCGAAGTTTATCGATCATTTTTGTCATAGTTGACAACAACAAGTGAAAAGAGATTAGACATCAAGCATCACGTTTATTATTGTCTCACACCAATTGATTGCATGAATCGATCGGTAAACATTATACTCTAGTTAATCTCTGTCGTCTATCGTTGTCAAAAGGCATAATACCTTTTTGTTTTCTTTCTTTGTCTCTCTCATATTCTCATATAATATAATACGAGTTGCATCAATCATTTCTTCATTCTTATTAATCATGACATCATCATACTTCTTCACTTTGATGATACTATTATTAGTATTTGTTCATATACATAGAATTAGTTCAATACCAGCATGTATCATTATTGATACAGATATGATTCAACGATCTCAAGATGAAAAATCATTATCAAATAATCGTTCATCATTATCATTATTTCTTCGAAATTTACGTATGTCTAATGATAAACGTTCATCGGCATTATCTGAATTTGCTGTTGAACCTGTACCACTTTCTTTTATCGATTTAAAAACAACAACATTATCACCATTAATGAATATTAATCATTCATCATTAAAAAAATCTTTAACAGATTCAATTATTGAACAAACATTTTCTCCATGTCAAATTAATTTACTTAATGAAATTGAAACACAAATGGTTGTTCCATTTGAATTTCGTCGTTTACGTATTGAACAACCTGATCATCGTAAAAAATTTCTTGATGATGATCCACGTAAAACTGTTCCTGATCTATCAACAGCTGTTTATGAAAGACGTTCAGATCCTGAAGGACTTCGTTTTTGTCGTACTTGTCGTGATGGTAAATTAAATGAAAATATTTTTTTTTAAACCAAAAAAAAAAAGAAAAAAACTTTTTTTTTTCATCTTTTATTTTCTAGGTTTTTGGACTCCATTAACTGTATGTGAAACTGTTCGATGTGATGCTGAATTATTACGAGCCAATCCACGTTTAGTAACGGAATGGGGTGAAATAAAACCATTAGATGGTGGTGCACTTTATGCACCTTCATCTGTTTTTGCCATATATGCATTTGCTTTTGGACCACATTGTAAACGATGTGAATCGAATGGACAATGGAGTCGTTATGCATTACCTGAACTTTGTTCTGATATTAAATTTTTTGGTCCTCCAACAACAACAATACCAAGCAAGAGTCAGACTTCAACAAAATATGCACAATTAAAACACAGTAGTACAACATTATCATTGATACAATTAGGAAGCAAAAAACAATAAAATATTATATATATCCTTGATTTATATACATAGAAATATCAGTTTAGATTAGAATTATTATATATGAGATTTTTGAAAAAAAAACTCTCTTTGTTATCATACAAGAAAAGGCTTAATAAACAATTTTGTGCACTTCATTTGTTGATTTTTTCTACACTCTTGAAGCACCTGGTAATGAATTAACATAATTGATTAAATCCTATATTAAATCGATATTATTATTATTATTATTATTATATGGATTAATAAAACTGATTACTCACCATTTTATTTGTTGACGAAGCTAATTCTTGAAGTGTTTTACCACTAATCTAGAAAAATAAAAATAAAATATATCTTATAAAAATGAATCAGTTTTTTTTCTTTCTGAATTATACTTTGCTCGGTGTTCTTGTATCAGCTCCATAAGTAACCAAAAGTTGCGTAGTAAATAGATTACCTCGAATAACAGCCATTTGTAAAGCTGTTGTAGACGTTGATTTATCTTGACATTCAGAATTGGCACCATTACGTAGAAGAAGTTCGATTATTTCTTTATTACAATCATGAATAACTAAATTTAAAAAAGAAAAATAAATATTTTCTTTGTTCTAATATTTCATTTTATATTTACCTGCTCGATATAATGGTGTCCATTTATGTGGTCCAACTTGTCTATTGATTTCAAAATCTTTAATTTTTTCATCTGTTTCATTATTTAATTGTTTTATAATAACAGCAATTGTATCAAAATTTTTACTATCAACTGCATGATGTAAAATAGTTATACCTAGATGAAATAATTAGAAAATCATATTTTCATATAGATTTTTTTTCGTTACCATTTTGATCAACACTATAAACATTAGCACCATTTTCAATAAGTAGAGCACATGCTTTACTAAAACCAGTACTTGCTGCAACCATTAAGCTAAATTTATGAAATTTATATTATTGAAATTGTTATTACAAACAAAAGACATACGCTGTTTTTCCAGAACTAATATAATTATTAACATTTGCACCAGCTTGTATTAGTAATTCTACTTTACTTTAACAACAACAAAAAAAAAACATTTCGACTAGTTATTAAATTATGATAAAAACTATTGACTAACTTAATATCAAGTTTAGCACATGCATGCATTAAAGGTAAATTTCCATCTTTATCTGGATGTTCTAAGAGATGATGTTCTGGACCTCTATATGAACAAAATAACAAATATGTTTTTATTTTAAAAAAAAAAGCATTATTCATTATGGGATCAACGTACAAAATCTGAAGTAATTTTTCAAGTTGCTCTTTTCCAGGTACACCAATTGCTTTGAAAACTGTTTCACCATTCATTGGTTCAGGTGTTGTTGATGTTAATAATATTGGAGACCATTCTGAACGTTCACCATTCAAACCAGATTTGCATTGAATACGATATTCATATTGAGTATTTGGTTTTAAATTTTCTACTTTATATCTTAATGCTGAACCTCTATTTGTATTGGACAAAAAAAAAAAGAAAATTTTAATTAATCAGATATCTTAAATAACATACGTATAAATATTTTCCCAAATCGAACCAATTTTTTTCTCACGTTGATGAAGATAAATTAAAGAACCTGAGTGTGCTAAACCTGTTTCATCAAATAATCTTCTACTTCTTGAACGAGCTTCATCTTGAATTCGAATATGTTCCCATTCGAGTTCAATTGAATAATGATTTGCATTAACTAAAACTGGTATTGAAGGTCGTTCTAAGCGTCCAGCTAAATAAAAACAAAAAAGAAAATAAAGAATTATTTATCAATTATGATAAAAATTTCAATTGATTATATGATAAAAGAAAAAAGAAAAGATTAATTTCTTACTCATGTTGCTACTGTCGTGTGAGCTAAAACGTTTGAAAAAGAAAAGAAATATATTTCTTCATTTTAAGTACCTTTCGAACCGTTTGCTACTGTCGTCATTGTCGTTGGATGCCAGCAAATAGAAAAATACTTCAAATATAAAAGAAAAGTAAGATGAGAAGTAGTTTTGAATTGAATAGAAAAAAAAATACAAGGTGAGAATAAGTATGTTCTTGTTCATTTTCTCCGATTGAAATTAATTTTTCTCGCTTTAAAGTTCTGCTATTATAATTGACAGAATACTATCGGAAGTTTGCACGCAACTGAATATTACACATGAACTTAATAAATGTAATCGTCTATCAAATCACTTCGAACTTATTAAGAATGAAGCAATTAAAGAAGAAAAGATTTATGTATATTCAATTTAATGGAAAAAGAAAAGTGACATGACTCGACCATTATCTTATGTTTATGCATAGTGATTGCTTGGCAACGTTTGTTGAACTATAGGAGGTCGCTTGTCGTCATGTGATATTTAAAAAGAAGCTTTATAAACCTTGTGAAATATTCAAGTGGCAATAGGAAACTATTTTAATGAATTCTTCTTTTTTTCTCCAAGGCTGTACGATGTAGGAAAAAAAAAGAAAAAATAAATTGCTTCTGTTTTAATTGTCATACGTGCCTAGAATCTAAAAAAAAAAAAGTAAAGCATTAGAAATGACAAATTTTTATCTGAAATACTAGAAATAAAAATAAATCATATTTAGATAAAAGTTGATTGATTGATAAAATTAGAAAAAAAAATTATTTTTTTGAGTTTATTAAGCAGAATAAATACCTGTACTTACTTAATGATCATAAGTCACACATTTTTTAACCATACCAAAAAAAAAGAGCTATAGCCCTGAAGGAGTCACTTCGATGAACTTCGGTCAAATATTTACTCTCACCTTACTTTCTTCTATTTAACAATAGAATGAATAATGGAATGTTCAAAAAAAAACCTCTGGAAGCTATTTGTAATACAAACAAAATAGTAATGCAATACTTGGAATATCATTAATGAATGGGTAATACTCATTCTATAATAGCAAATCATACAACTAAAGCATAATATTAAATAGAAATTATTCTATAAGAACCGAAAAGCGTAATTAGTTTGATTAAATAAATTATGTCATCAAAAAATATAAAATAACACGGGTGTATTCCAACAATAATTAATACCATAATCTAAAGTATAATTAGAAAATAATAGAGACAGCATATAAAAGAATTGTTTATCTGACCCATGGAATCCAAAAAATCAAAAAAAATTCCATGATTTTCGTGAATTTTATATTAAAAATACGAAAAAAAAAGGCATTTCTAATGATGGGACAGACAAAACAAATAATGTTTTTCAAATTCATTGATGAAAAGCGACATTTTAATTAAGCAAAATGCAATGGATTTCATTTTTAATTAAAATCATGCAATGAAATTAATGAATTTGAAATACATTCATTTTTTTGTCTGTTTCATCATTTTAATGGCATTCTTTTAATTTATTAATTTCCTTAGAATTCTCATCGAACTATTTGATAAGTTGATTGTTTTGTATTTTGATATGCTAGTAATACAAATAAACCAGTCATCAAAGAAAAAGACAGTCGAATTTCTCCAAGAATGAGTACATAATCATAAACAAATATTACAACATAAAATTTTTGTTTACAAAAATGTATAAATATCTCCCGTGTTGAAACTAAAGTATGTCAATTTTATAAAGACATTCCATGAAAAATTCAAAGCTTAGAGAATATTGATGATAAACAATAAGTTATTGTCGCCAATGATGACAAACTCAAATATTTAACAATCGATCAAACGTTGTTAACAAATGACATAATAGTTAAAAAAGAATCCAGATGAATTTTGTCGAAATGTTTTTTAGACTAAAAAATATATGAATATCGAATAATTCATCAATAACTCCAGTAATATGAATAGGTATGCCCAAATTGACACTAATTTTTAGAGAAGTCAGAGTAAATGACAAGCTTATTAATTTCATTAGGTTTATTTTCAATTTATGTTCGTTACCTTTAAAGATAAAAAGAATTCGGAGAATAGTTTAAGTAGGAAAATTTATTTAGAACAAGAATATACGAAAATAAAGGTTCTTAGCCAACACCAAAAGACAAGATCACTAGAGAGTCCAAATAGTTTCCCAACGCCTAGGATGCCGAACTATCATTTTTCGTCAGACTATGTAAAATGCTAGACCAAATAACTCTCTACGGAATCAGATGTCTCCCAGTTCTCTACGACTGTGTTTTGCTGTGATGTGACAACCATACGGATAACTTCAACATTGGTTTTTAGTCTATTGTCTAGGGAAAAAGGATTTTTAGGTCTTTCATCAGATTGCTGTATTGCATGCAAAATGCGCTGCAGAGAATCTCAAGATATCTCATTTTATAGAGAATTTTTTTAATATGTTGTTCTACGTAGTTACAACAAAATAATAGTTCTATGTTGTAAGTATCCAAATCTAAGGTTTTGACTTTTAAAGATTTCAACTTTGGAAATCAGCTAAAAAATTTTATTTTTATATATTGTTGTTGTAAATGATTTTCTCTACTCTAAACTCTATTCAGATGTTTTTGAATGTTTAAGACAGCGTAAGTTATACCATTAATTGTGGTTTTATATTTCTTTTTCTTTCGAGCATATTCGTTCCTATCATGAGTTTTTCGTTTTTATTGTCTCTCTCTCGACTGACGATGAAAACATTTTGTATGCATTCAATGCATTGATTTCTGAAACCACTACCCATGCAGAAAACGACGGAAAAAATCAATTAAAACCAGATTTTTCCGTCTTTTTTTACATGATAATTATCTGTTTCAGTTATGTATTACCTGTTAATCTGCTCCAATCTATTGTAACCTTTTAATCTTCTTCAATCTGTTATAACCTATTAATTTGTTTCAATTAATTATTGCCTGTTAATCATTTTTAATCATATACATGGAAAGTTTGTGCTTTTCTCGATATTCGAATGCGAAATCCTAATTTTTTTTTGAAATTTTTGGATTGCTCGTGTTTAGAAACCATGAAGTTATCACTAGGCTAAGGCTTGGCAAATAAAGTAAACTTGCAACTGCTATATAAATCGTCTCATATTGAGA